TTCTTCTTTGGCAAGATCTTTAAGAAAACTTTGAAACACTACTAGGGCCAAGGACTGTCATTAAATAACCCGCTTAAGACTGTTACATACACTACACATTCACAGGCAGAAGGCTAGTAAGTAAACTACAGACATTACCTAACACTTGGAAAGCATCAGAGAGAAATGGGGCAACGCTGTGTAACGTGTGCTGATGCTGAATTACCTCTAACACAAAGAAAAAAAACGAGGTAGAACAGCGGTTTGCACACATTACCATGCTGTTCAAATGCATATACATAATGTTTATGTGATGCGCGCATGCATAGCTATTCTCATATGCCAGGCAGATCTCTGCAAGGACACCCAAAAACTGGCTAATGGACTTGCCACCAGGAGGGCTGGTGTCTGAGGCATGTCAGTGGGAGATGGGCTTTTCATCAGACATACCTCTGTATCGTTTGCATATTGGACTATATATATCAATAGTCTATCTACAAAATACCCTACTTATAAAACTATTTACAAAAGTTAACATTACAGGCCAGGCGAGGTGGCTCATGCCTGTAATCTCAGCACTTTGGGAGGCCAAGACAGGCGGATCAGCAGAGGTCAGGAGTTTGAGACCAGCCTGGCCAACATGGTGAAACCCTGTCTCTACTAAAAATACAAACATTAGCTGGGCATGGGGGTGCACACCTGTAATCCTAGTTACTTGGGAGACCAACTGCTTGAACCTGGGAGGCGGGGGTTCACTGAGCTGAGATCACATCTCTGCACTCCAGCCTAGGCGAGAGTGAGACTCTCTCTCAAAACAAAACATTGCATTATAAAAAACACTTACAAACTTACCAGAAACAAACACATTTACAAAATCTCAAACACATTTTTAAACTATTCTCATTCTAAAATTCATATGGAAAAGTTAAGTGTACATAAATAGCCAAGGAAATTTTGAAAAAAGTGAGGAAATACTATCAAATATTAAAGAACATTAATATAAAGCTACACTATTAACATAAATTTGCAGACCAAGCATGGCTGCTCACACCTGTAAGCCCAGCACTTTGGGAGGGAGATCAGGCAGGAGGAGGATCCCTCGAGCTCAGGAGTTGGAGGCCAGCCTAGGTAACATAGTGAGACCCCCCAACTCTCAAAAAGTAAAAATGAAAAAGAATTTAAATTCATTTCCAGCAGGGCACAGGGGCTCATGTTTGTAACCCCAGTGCTTTCGAAGTCCAAGTTGGGAGGATCACTTGAGGCCAGGAGGAGTTCTAGACCAGCCTGGGCAACATAGCAAGACCAACCTGTTTTTTATTTATTTATTTTTTTTGAGATGGAGTCTGGCTCTGTCGCCCAGGCTGGAGTGCAGTGGCTGGATCTCAGCTCACTGCAAGCTCCGCCTCCTGGGTTTACGCCATTCTCCTGCCTCAGCCTCCCGAGTAGCTGGGACTACAGGCGCCCGCCACCTCGCCCGGCTAGTTTTTTGTATTTTTTAGTAGAGACGGGGTTTCACCGTGTTCGCCAGGATGGTCTCGATCTCCTGACCTCGTGATCCGCCCATCTCGGCCTCCCAAAGTGCTGGGATTACAGGCTTGAGCCACCGCGCCCGGCCAACCAACCTGTTTTTTTAATTTCCACCGTCACTTCTTAAGTTAAAATGAATTCCAGATGGGCCATAGAAGTAAAAATAAAAGCTAAAAGTACTGAAAGAAAACATGAAATATTTAATAACTTTATTGACATATATAGATCAGGAGTTCGAGACCAGCCTGGTCAATATGGTGAAACCCCCATCTCTACTAAAAATACAAAAAAATTAGTTGGGCGTGGTGGCGGGCACCTGTAGTTCCAGCTACTCGGGAGGCTGAGGCAGGAGAATTGCTTGAACCCAGGAGGCGGAGGTTGCGGTGAGTAGAAGCTGCACCACTGCACTCCAGCCTGGGCAACAGAGCGACAACCTGTCTTGGAAAAAAAAAAAAAAAAAGACAAATAAGATATTCTGAGGATAGGTGACTGGCCCTGGCAGTGTCAGGGGTCAGTGAGGCCTGAAAGGGTAAGAGGGCTGAGCTCACGGGTGACTGAGGTAGTGCAGTATGGGCGAGAGGATTCCACAGATACAAGACGTACACATGTGAGGCCAGGCACACGCTAGAACCTGGAAACACTTTCCCAAGAGAAAAAAAATTCAAGAAGTCTGGATTTTCTATATAGGTAGATCTGCCTAAACCATTATTTCTCCCCTGTTGCACAAGACAAGTATTGTCTTAGCTAAATTCACTCATCATTCAATCAATCCAAACAATTTACCTGCCCACTCATCCACACAGGTGACAATGGCAAGGGCATCTGCAACACAGAAGGCTGCCAAGAACACGTTCCATTTCTTAGACTCAGGCAGAGGAATGCTTGAACCACTGCACCAGGAGGAGGAGAGGACAGAGATGATTAAGAAAGAGATAAAGGGCCGGGCACGGTGGCTCAAGCCTATAATCCCAGCACTTTGGGAGGCCGAGACAGGCGGATCACGAGGTCAGGAGATCGAGACCATCCTGGCTGACACGGTGAAACCCCGTCTCTACTAAAAAACACAAAAAACTAGCCGGGCGAGGTGGCGGACGCCTGTAGTCCCAGCTACTCGGGAGGCTGAGGCAGGAGAATGGCGTGAACCCGGGAGGCGGAGCTTGCAGTGAACTGACATCCGGCCACTGCACTCCAGCCTGGGCGACTGAGCGAGACTCCATCTCAAAAAAAAAAAAAAAATTAGAATTAAAATGTCCCTGAGCTGAAAACTGACATATTTTCCAAATGGAAGCAACAGTGCATGATACAGAGCACAAATCACAAACACCTGTGGACGCGAGACCACAAACCACAAAGAGAAAAAACCTCAATCTCCAAGGAGGAAAAAACCCGAGTCAGCTACAAAAGAAACAAGAACCAAATTAATAGGACAGTTGGCCGGGCACAGTGGCACACGCTTGCAATCCCAGCACTTTGAGGGGCGAGGCCGTCAGATCACTTGAGGTCAGGTGTTTGAGACCAGCCTGGCCAACGTAGTGAAACCCCACCTCATAAAGACAAGAAAAACAAATAAATAAATAAATAATTGATCAGACAGCGGTGCTAGAAGAAAGCAACAGCATCACATTCTGAGGGAAAATTATTATTATTTTTGTTGTTGAGATGGAGTCTCACTCCGTCGCCCAGGCAGGAGTGCAGTGGTGCAATCTCAGCTCACTGCAACCTCTGCCTCCCAGTTTCAAGTGATTCTCCGGCCTCAGCCTCCCCAGAGGCTGCGATTACAGGCATGTGCCACCACACTCAGTTAATTTTTGTATTTTTATTAGAGATGGGGTTTCACCATGTTGGCCAGGCTGGTCGTGAACTCCTGATCTGCCCGCCTCAGCCTCCCAAAGTGCTGGGATACAGGCGTGAGCCACCGCGCCCTGTCACAAGGTATGCTTTTATACGCGACTGGTTTTGAAAAGACATAATATTCAGCGTTGCTTTGTAATAGGCAGTCTTGATGCCTGCTAATGGGCATATAAATTGATAATGCCTTCTTGGACAATTTGGCAGTATCCGCTAACATTTCAAAAATGCATAGGCTCTGAAACATCAATTCTAAAACTCTAATTATATAAAGCTAAAGAAATATTAGCCGGGCGCAGTGGCTCAAGCCTGTAATCCCAGCACTTTGGGAGGCCGAGACGGGCGGATCACGAGGTCAGGAGATCGAGACCATCCTGGCTAACCCGGTGAAACCCAGTCTCTACTAAAAAATACAAAAAAAAACCTAGCCGGGCGAGGTGGCGGGCGCCTGCAGTCCCAGCTACTCGGGAGGCTGAGGCAGGAGAATGGCAGGAACTCGGGAGGCGGAGCTTGCAGTGAGCTGAGATCGCGCCGCTGCACTCCAGCCTGGGGGACAGAGCGAGACTCCGTCTCAAAAAAAAAAAAAAAAAAGAAATACTGCACGTGGACAAATATTTAAGTACTTATCCATTCTATGCAGTATTGTAATAAAAATTAAAACCTGAAATAATCTTTATTGAGTCCATTAATAGGACAATGTTTAAGCAAATGACAAGTCCATCATACAGAATACTGTGTGGTCACTGGAAAGCACGTGGACCTGTGTACACTGAATTGAAAAGATGTGGAAACAATGCTGGGAGAGTTAAAATTTTCTGGAGCACAACGTACCACAATGCAAACATAGTTTAGGCTTTTTAGAGTGAAAACAGTTATACGTAGACATTTATGTTTACACGTGTAACAGTGTGTACAGCCCCAAAGGAACAGAACTGTTCACTGCTGTTACCTCCGAGTGGGGACTGGGAAAGCAGAGGTTAGGGTCATTCTCTCTTTTATTGGCGCATCCATTATTCCAGGCCCCGAGGACACAACTGCATCAACGACATCGAGTCCACCTGCTCTGGAAACCCGGGTGACTGCTGTTGGTTTTGTTCACTACGGCGTCCCCAGAACCCGTACTGCACCGGGCACTGAGCGGGCGCTCACATGTGCGTCCAATGAACGATTTAACAAATGAACAGTCAGTGCGCTACTGAGGGGCGGGGAGGAGTAAAGCACCATCCAGGGAACTCGCACGATCACCCCGAGTGAGTCCGTTCCCCGCCACACGCACCCGCAGAGACTCCGCGCTCCGCAGCGGCTCCACCAGCTCGTGCGCTACCTGATTGGACCGGAAGCTCCAGGAGGGACGACCCCGCGGCCGCTCCGCCCGACCCCGCGACGCCCCAAGCCCCGACCTCCTTCAAGGCTCGGAGGAGCCGGTGTCGAGACGAGTCCAGCCGAGAAAAAGGCAGCCCGGCCGGAGCTGGCGAGGAGTGGAGCGAAAGGAAACGCGCCTACAGAGATGGGCCTCGCCGGACCTCCCACGCCCGTGAAGCAGGTGCCGGTGCCGGCGCCTCGCGCCCCGGAGCACCTAGGAGGGACGACCCTGCAGTCTCCGTGGCCCGGCCCGCCCGCTGCCCGTCCAGCCAGGCCTCCCTCACCTCCCGGGACGGCCGCCAGCGCCGGCGCCCGCAGCAGAGGCCGCAGGCGGCGGCCCCACAGCAACAGCGCCCGCAACTCGCGCGCCATGTCGTCCTCCCAGAGCGCCGCGCACAGCCACGCGGGACCAAACAGGATGGGACGGGGCGGGACGAGGCCGCGCGGGGCGGGGCTTTCCTCGGGCGCGGGGCGGTGACGTCACGGCGGGCCCCGGGCTGTCCGGGCAGCTGCCTGCTCTGGCGCGTGGCGGGGTACGACCCCTCGCGTGGACAGTAAGCCTGGGGGCGGGGCCTCTGTGACCTTGGGTCGCGTTGTCAAGGGCGACGGGGCGTGCGCGCGGAGCTGGGGGAGGTGGCCCCGCCGCGCCCGGCCCACGCTGGTCGGCTGCGCCTAGCTGTGCGCATTCCTGGAACGGGGCGGATGTCAGTATCCACGCGAGAGTGTGGAGGTGGCGTCGGGGAAGAAGCAGTTCCCGTCTCTGCGACCTTTGTGAATCCCGGCCATCCGTATAGGCCTCTGCAAGTCTCTTGCAAACCAAGACTGGCCAAAAAGCTAAAACGAATGAGGAAGGGAATTCCAGGCTTGACTGGCTACACCAAAACGTGAACCCAGTAACCAACGCCACCAGGAAAACTGCGGTTATTCGTGTATTCCACTTCTTTTGCCCTTGTCGAGAAGAGTCAAACTAAAATATTTAGAAGTTTATTCTGAGCCAAATATTAGTGTGCATGGAGGGAGGCAGAGTCTCAAAAGGTCCTGAGAACTTGTGCCCAAGGTGGTTTGGGTTACAGCTTGCTTGGTTTTATACATTTTAAGGAGACATAAGACATCAGTCAATACATGTAAGACATAGGTTGGTTCTGTATGGAAAGGCAGGACAACCCAAAGGGTGAAATACTTAGAGGTCATAGGTGGATTCAAAAATTTTCTGATTGGCAATTGGTTCAAAGAGTTGAGTTCCGGCTCGGCGGGGTGGCTCACGCCTGTAATCCTAGCACTTTGGGAGGCTGATGTGGACGGATTGTCTGAGGTCAGGAGACCAGCCTGGCCAACATGGTGAAACCCCATCTCTACTAAAATACAAAAAATTAGCCGGGCAAGGTGGCACCTGTCGTCCCAGCTCCTGGGGAGGCGGAGGCGGAGGCGGAAGAATAGCTTGAACCCGGGAGGCTGAGATTGCAGTGAGCCGAGATCATGCCACTTGCACTGCAGCCTGGGCCACAGAGCTGAGACTCCGTCTCAAAGTAAATAAATAAATCCCAGCACTTTGGGAGGCCGAGACGGGCGGATCACGAGGTCAGGAGATCGAGACCATCCTGGCTAATATGGTGAAACCCCGTCTCTACTAAAAATACAAAAAACTAGCCGGGCGAGGTGGTGGGCGCCTGTAGTCCCAGCTACTCGGGAGGCTGAGGCAGGAGAATGGCGTAAACCCGGGAGGCGGAGCTTGCAGTGAGCTGAGATCCGGCCACTGCACTCCAGCCTGGGCGACAAAGCGAGACTCCGTCTCAAAAAAAAAAAAAAAAAAAAAGTAAATAAATAAATAAATACAAAGTTGAGTTCTACAAAGCTGAGACCCCATCTAAAAAAAAAAAAATAGAGTTCTACAGACCTGGAATTAATGAAAAGAGTGTCTGAGTGAAGATAAGTTGTGGGCATGAGCACGGTGGCTCACGCCTGTAATCCCAACACTGGGAGGCCGAGGTGGTCGAATTGCTTGAGGTCAGGAGTTGGAGACCGCGTGGGCAACATGGTGAGACCCTGTCTGTACTAAACATACCTGTACTGGATGTGGGTGGCAGAGGCCTGTAATCCCAGCTATAAGGGAGCCTAAGGTGGGTGGATTGCTTAAGCCCAGGAGGGAGAGGTTGCAGTGAGCCAAGTTCATGCCACTGAACTCCAGCTTGGGCAACAGAGCCACACCCTGTCTCAAAATATAAAAATAAAAGCAAGAGGTTGTGGAGACCAAGGTTCTTATTATGTAGAGGAAGTCTCATAGATGCCCACCCTTACAGGTAATAGATCACAAACGTTTTTGCAGATGTTTTCTATTCAGACCGTTAAAAGTTCCTAGACCCTCAGCCAATCTCTTCAGAATCAGAAAAAGACTTGGAAAGGTGGCCTGATGTGGTGGCTTACGCATATAATCCCAGCACTTTAGGAGGCCAAGGTGGTCTTATCACTTGAGGTCAGGAGGTTGAAACCAGCCTGGCCAACATGGCAAAACCCTATCTCTTCTAAAAATACAAAAATTAGGCCGAGATACAAGAATTAGGCTTACACCTGTAATCCCAGCACTTTGGGAGGCTGAAGCGGGCAAATCACCTGAGGTCGGGAGTTCGAGACCAGCCTGACCAACATGGAGAAACTTCGTCTCTACTAAAAATACAAAAAATTAGCCAAGCATGGTGGTGCATGCCTGTAATCCCAGTTACTCAGGAGGCTAAGGCAGGAGAATCGCTTGAACCCAGGAGGTGAAGGTTGCGGTGAGCTGATATCGTGCCATTGCACTCCAGCCTGGGCAACAAGAGTAAAGGTCTGTCTCAAAAAAACACAAAATTACCTGGGAGTGGTGGTGTGCACCTGTGGTACAGCTGGGACTACTCGGGAGGCTGAGGCAGGAGAATCGCTTGAACCCAGGAGGCAGAAATTGCAGTGAGCCAAGATCGCACCACTGCACTCCCACTCCAGCCTGGGTGACAGAGCAAGATTCCGTCTCAAAAAACAAAAAACAAACAAACAAACAAAAAAACTCCTTTATAATGTTAACGCTGGTCAGTTATGCCTCATTTCGAAGGGGAGGAGCGTATAACGAGGCATGACCGACCCCCTCCTTCCAATTATGGCCTGAACTAGTTTTTTAGGTGTCTTTGAAATCCCCTTGGCTGAGAGGAATGGTCCATTCCGTGGGTTGGGGACTTACAATGTATTTTTGCCAGCCGGGCACGGTGGCTCACGCCTGTAATCCCAGTACTTTGGGAGGCCGAGGCAGGCGGATCATCTGAGGTCGGGAGTTTGAGACCAGCCTGACCAACATAGAGAAGCCCCATCTCCACTAAAAATACAAAATTAGCCGGGCGTGGTGTCACATGCCTATAATCCCAGCTACTCGGGAGGCTGAGGCAGGAGAATCACTTGAATCTGGGAGGCAGAGGTTGCAGTGAGCCGAGATCACGCCACTGCACTCCAATCTGGGCAACAGGAGCAACCATCTCAAACAAACAAAACATTAGCTAGGTGTGGTGGTGGGTGCCTGTAATCACAGCTACTTGGGAGGCTGAGGCAGAGAATTGCTTGAACCTGGGAGTCGGAGGTTGCAGTGAGCCAAGATCGTGCCACTGCACTCCAGCCTGGGTAACAGAGCGAGACTCCATCTCAAATAACAACAAAAAGAATTTATTTTTGCCTTACACCCTGCTGGAGGTTAGAGTCTAGTTGGAGATTCAGACCATAAACCCTGGTCCAACATTTGGTCCAGACCCAGCTGCAACCTCATCATGCTGATTTCCCAGCACCTCCTCAGTCCCAAGTAGGGCCCAGGCAGCTCCACTGAGGTTCCCAGGTAATTCGGAGGCACACTGAAGATTCACTGCCATACTCCAATAACTGTACAAAAATAGCGACTCCAGCTCGTGGCAGGTGCTGCAGAGAAGCGCGGGAGCCAGGAGCGTGACCTCCAGAGGGGCCGGGACAGAGCTGGGTGTTGGAAGAGGATGTGTCAGGAAATGCCTCCAGGTGGAAAGTGGCAAGTTCCCAGCTTAAGCAATTGAGAAGGGGAACAGAAAGAGGGTGGGCAGATTTGGGTGGAAGAGCAGGGTCCTCTCACCTGGACCACTCCAGCAGCCACGACAGGCCCCTGCTTCCACTCTCACAGCCTCCCATCCTCCACGGCAGCCAGATCATACTCCGTCTCTCAGATCCTCCAATGATCCCCCTGCCAACACACATGCATGTCCTTAGAATCATTTCCAGACTCCTGCCTCCTCCTGTAGGCCTGCATGGGCCTGCCTGTGTTCCCCATCACCACGCTCCAGGCAGAGCCCTTTCCAGCATATGCCCAGGGAATGGGGGCAAGGTTGGGGGGCGTCTTGGCTTCACATTTCATCCCTTTTTCGCCACATTCAGGAAATCATCTTTTTTTTTTTGAGATGGAGTCTTGCTCTGTCACCCAGGCTGGAGTACAGTGGTGCGATCTTGACTCACTGCAAGTTGCACTTCCCGGGTTCACGCCATTCTCCTGCCTCAGCCTCCTGAGTAGCTGGGACTACATGCGCCCGCCACCACGCCTGGCTAATTTATTTTTGTATTTTTAATAGATACGAGGTTTCACCGTGTTAGCCAGGATGGTCTTGATCTCCTGACCTCGTGATCCGCCTGCCTCGGCCTCCCAAAGTGCTGGGATTATAGGCGTGAGCCATGGCGCCCTGCCGGACCTGTGGCTTTTTAAGGTACTGAGGGATCCAAGGCGTGCCCTAAGATGGCCACACACAGATTTCAGCCTCTGCGTAAACCAATAATCTAGAAAGAGGAAAACATGTTTACACGCAGACATACTTGAATTAGTGGAGAATGACCGGGAGTTGCTTTTGGAGGGAAAGGGAAGAATCCCCAAGTCTCCTGCCCACCTCTATGGCCAGTATGAGGCTGCCATACAAAGTCCCTGCCTTCCACTGGGGACAGCTGAGGGCCGTGACAAATGCCCGGTGCTTTATTCACAATAGCCAAAATGTGGAAGCAACTCAGGTATCCATGGACAGACGAATGGATCAGCAAAATGTGGTCTGTTCATACAATGGAATATTACTCAGCCATAAAAAGGAAGGAAGTGGCCGGGCGAGGTGGCTCATGCCTATAATCCCGGCATTTTGGGAGGCCAAGGTGGGCGGATCACTTGAGGTCAGGAGTTCGAGGCCAGCCTGGCCAACATGGTGAAACCCCGTCTCTACTAAAAATATAAAAATCAGCCAGGCATAGTGGTGCATGTCCGTAATCCCAGCTACTCGGGAGGCTGAGGCAGGAGAATCACTTGAACCTGGGAGGTGGAGGTTGCAGTGAGCCAAGATTGTGCCATTGCCCTCCAGCCTGGTGATCGAGCAAGACTCTGTCTCAAAAAAATAAAATAATAAAATCAAATAAAGAAGCCAGGAGAGACCCTGACTCTGCAAAAAACACAAATACTAGCCAGGTGAGCCAGGCATGGTGGCTCACTCCTGCAATCCCAGCACTTTCCAAGGCCAAGGCAGGGAAATCTGTTGAGTCCAGGAGTTCAAGACCAGCCTGGGCAACATGGCAAAATGCTGTCTCTACAAAAAATACAAAAATTAGCCAGGTGTGGTGGTGCCTGTAGTCCCAGCTACTTGGGAGGCTGAGGTGTGAGCATCGCTTTTGCCCAGGAGGTTGAGGCTGCAGTGAGTGGTGATCACACCACTGCACTCCAGCCTGGGCAACAGAGCAAGACTCTTGTCTCAAAAATAAATAAATAAATAAATAAAAAACAAGTGAAGATTGGTCTGGCCTGAGAGAAAACAGAGTGAAAGGGCAGCTCAGTCCTATGTGCCCAGGGGAATTGCACAGGCCACTTGGGCAGCTCTGCAAGGCCCCCTCCTGGCTGGTGTGGCTGCCTGGTGGCTCTGTCCCCACCACCCCACCCTGCCACCTCAAGACTGCTCCTTTACCTGGGTGCCGTGGGCCTGGATTCCA